ATTAGTTTGGGAGGTAGAAACTAAAAACTAGTTATTATGATTGTTGCAGGTGGTAATTTTTTCTGATCCCAATGCAATAAAAGAATATAGTGCAAAATTAGGTGCTAGAGAGGATTTGTATGCATTATTTGGCATGGAGGCCACAGCTCTTTACCTTGATGTCAAATACACCATAGTGGACGAGTACCTCAACCAGTTTGTCTAAGACTTGGAAGCGTGTTGATGGTTTTATATGAATGAAACTGGCTATCTTTCCAAATAAGTAGTAGGTAGTTTGATGATTAATGTACCTCAAGTTGTGTGGAAATAACTAGCATATGGGGACAGGTGCTTCCCCTTTGTCTCATCTTTGTTCAACTCTCTGTACTATCTTTTGTTAAAATGAAGGAATATTCAAAGGTTATCAATATCTTGTCCTAGAATATTCAAGCTTGGATATTCCATGACACTTGGAATATTGAATTGGTCAGCAAACTAGTTTACTAGTTCCATGTTTGGGTCAATATCTAAGAAAGGAAATGAAGGTTTAATGCTTTGAAAATCTTCTATGAATTCATACATTGGTCTTTCTTTTCTTTTTTTTGGATTTGCAGAATCCGCTGCTTGAAGGCTTCAATTGGGTTTTGGATAATGTGGGTGAGGAGCTACTATTTATAGTGAAGGAGTTCTTGTGCATAGTGAGGAAGGTGTTCACGTGGCACATCTATGTGTCCCCTATGGGCCCTATTTCAGGAGATATTACAATCATATTTAACTTTGAAGTGTATGATCATGTTTATTAATATATGATATGAAGTGGTTGAACTTTGAACAAAGTGTGAATCAGTTAGATATTATATTCTTGATTTTTTTTTCATTATTTTTTTAGTGGATTTTGGAGATTTTATGGATTTAAGGATTCAATTACTTTCTATTTTTCTTATTTAGTCCCCAAGTAATTGAAGTAGGAGTGATTTGTTGTTGACCAATTCAACTTGGCTATTTTTTTCTTATGAGTTTTGGTTCAACCTTTTGAGTTTTTAAAAACATAACTTTGCATGACGCCAGAGTGGGCCAATGCGTCATGCAAAGGCTGTTTGCGCGATGTACCAAACAACGCGTCACACAAAAAGTTGTTTGCGCGACGTAGCAAACAATACGTCACGCAAAGGCTATTTGCGCGACGTACCAGCCAATGCGTCGTGCAAAGTGTTTTGATATTCTTGATTTTTTTTTTTTTTTGGTTTTTTTTAGTAGATTTTGGAAATTTTATGGAATTAAGGATTCAATTACTTTCTATTTTTCTTATTTAGTCACCAAGTAATTGAAGTAGGAGTGATTTGTTGTTAACCAATTCAACTTGGCTATCTTTTTCTTTTGAGTTTTGGTTCAACCTTTTGAGTTTTTAAAAATATAACTTTGCGCGACACCAGAGTAGGCCAATGCGTCACACAAAGGCTGTTTGCATGACGTACCAGACAATGCGTCACACAAAGGCTGTTTGCGCGACGTACCAAACAAAGCATCACACAAAGGCTGTTGCGCAACATACCAACAAATGTATCACGCAAAGTGTTTTTACTACTTTCATCAAGTATAACATAAGATTTAGGCATCCACTAGTGTAAATATTTTAAATTGAAGATCGAATTAGTTCATTGTATTCATATGGGGTCAAGGAAATCAGAGTTAAAATAACCGTTAAATCATGATTTTTTGTTTATAACTGTTGAAAAGTTTTGTGCTATTACTTGATCTCTGAATGTTTCCTTTTTACGATTTTTGGTGCATGTGATCTCAAAGTGTATACAAACAAGTATGACGGTTGGATCGTTGAAACTAGTTTCGTACAATGTGTATCCCAACAAAACAATAGATTCACTAACACTTAAAGTTTATTTATACTTTCATTAAGTATAACATAAGATTTTGTGGTATCTACTAGTGTAAATATTTTAAATTGAAGATCAAATTAGTTCATTGTATTCATATAGGGTCAAGGAGTGTAGCTATAAAAAAATCATTAAAATCGGAGTTAAAATAATCGTTAAATCTTGATTTTTCGTTTATAACCGTCAAAAAGTTTTGTCCCGTTACTTGAATGTTTGGCTTTTGCGATTTTTGGCGTATGTGATCTCGAAGTATATACAAACAAGTTTGACGGTTACATCATTGAAATTAGTTTCGTACATTGCGTACTCCATCAAAACGATAGATTTACTAACACTTAGAGTTTATTTATACTTTCATTAAGTATAACATAAGATTTTGTGGTATCCACTTGTGTAAATATTTTAAATTTGTTCATTGTATTCATGTAGGATACAAGAGTGTAGCTGTAAAAAAATCATCAAAATCGGAGTTAAAACTACCGTTAAATCGTGATTTTTGTTTATAACCGTCGAAAAGTTTTATCCCATTACATGATATCTAAATGTTTGTTTTTTGTGATTTTTGGCGTATGCGATCTTGAAGCATATACAAACAAGTTTGATGGTTGGATCGTTAAAACTAGTTTTTGTACAATGTGTTTCCCATCAAAACGATAGATTCACTAACACCTAGAGTTTATTTATACTTTCATTAAGTATAACATAAGATTTTTTGGTATCCACTTGTGTAGATATTTTTAATTGACGATCAAATTAGTTCATTGTATTTATATAGGATCCAAGAGTGTATCTGTAAAAAATCATCAAAATCGGTGTTAAAACTACCGTTAAATTGTGCTTTTTCGTTTATAACCGTCGAAAAGTTTTGTCCTGTTACTTGATCTCTGCATGTTTGTTTTTTACAATTTTTGGCATATGCGATCTCGAAGCATGTACAAACAAGTTTGACTGTTGGATCTTTGAAACTAGTTTCGTACAATGCGTTTCCCATCAAGTTCAATGGTATATATGTCTACTAAATAGATTTTAATTTATTTATTTTGTACTTATAATGAAGGAAGATTTGTGAAAAACAAGTTCATTTGAGCAACATCAACAACATGCAATTAACAATTAAAAGGCGGAATCATGTTTATATGCACTCAAAAACAAAACTTAACCCATGAACTTCAAAGCCTAGTAGATAGGTGAACCAAGACTCAACTCAAAACAAAGTGAGTTGAGAAATCAATACCTTTGTAGATTCCTCTTTGCATAAGCAAAGGCTAATCACCCAAAGAGAGGGCCTTCATTCCTTGCATCTTAGATCCATGGATTTGGATGGATGAAAAGGTTTCTCCAAAGTTCCCAAAATTGAGAACCTCTAATGATTCATCACCAAGGCATAATGAAGAAGAAATGAGTGACCTTGGAGGAGTTTGATTGCTAGATGATCCCTCCAAGGTGGCCGAAATTTTTAGAGAGAAAGGAGAGCTTGTGTTCTCATCCTTTCCCCAAAAACAACCCTTAATGAATTTTAGGCTATAAAGTCTTTTATATAGTCCCTTCAAATAAGTGACCTAATGGACCAAAAGCCCTATTCTTCTAACATGGCGGGCCTATAGGTTTATTGGGCTTTCAAGCCCTTTGTTTATTCAAGTTGTCATACAACTTGAGTTAATGGGCTTGACATTCAAATCCCATTGGGCCTTGCGGCCCAAAACTAACCCGAGGTCTTTAACGAACTTATTCGTTTGATTAATTAACATATTAATTAATCCTAGCCTTAGATAAATAATTAAACCATTTAATTATTCTTACTCATCTCCGTTGTTTCTTCAAACTCTACCTTACTCGGTGAACGATCCATTAGGTTCCTTTTAGCGAGGCAGTGGGCGATTAAAACTCTTTCTAATCGATTGTGAATTGAAACTTACTTTCAATTCTCCCGTTAGTGATAATACACTTTTAGGGCTTCCACAAACCATGGTTGACGTCTAGCAGCATGTCATGGTTACCCAAGCTAATCAGAAGAGGTGGAGAACCTATTCAGTTTTAGGATTACAAATGCAATACGGTCTTTCTCTAATACAATACTCTTGACCACATTGTTTGGTTTGATAGTTTATTCATGTCTACTATCCAATGTGAGTCTTGTGCTTATATGATTACCTTGAATGTGATTTGGAACACATTCCTAAATCTCATTCATACTTTGGCCAAAGATTCTTAATCATATCATAGAGTATTCTCCCTCAAACAGTTTGAAGGTTAGAGATCCCTTGTTGCGCATTCACTTGCCTCCATGGCTAAGTGGCTTAACCCCAACGATGCCGTGGACACCCTCCTGATGGAGTGACTTTGACATATTCAAAGATTAAGGACCTAACCACAAGACAACTGTGATGCCTCAGGTCAAAAGACTAATTTGCATTATCCCAACCATGAGTTCTCATGTGACATGAATATGAGAACTCTTCGTTGATCGTGTTCAGTGAACTCATTCTCTATTGAGCACCTACGTACTTGTCTTGATGTCACACACACCAATGACTCGAGACTAGTCACTCTCCCTGAGAGAAGACATAGCACGTACTGATCTTAACGGACTGTTAATGCCCAATTGACAATCCTATGATCAGGAATGTTTAGGATGTGTCAACGAAAGAATGGTCTCATGAATCTAACTTCTTTAGATCGCATTCTTCCAATCACATATTCCTTGGACTTATCGTTTAAGCATATAACATTTATATGAGACGGCTCAAACAATAATCTTTGCCCTTTACATTTAAACTACATTAGTTTGAAATGTCCGTAAAGTATCATCATATGATTGGTTTTAGGGCACATTTCCAACATATAACACTTAAGAAATTGAATGATATATATGTAAAAAACATTATTGTGGGTTTTTGTTAGAAAAATATATTATTGTGGGGTTTATGTAAAAAAAAAATTGAATTTGAAAGGAGTAAAGTCACATTTTCAGTAATTTTTGTAATAATTTAAAAAAAGATGCCTTAATGTGGTCATCGCGCAAAACCATTTTGCGTGACGACAAATTGTATACCTACGTCGCGCCGGTTGTAATAATTTTGGCTGTGTAATAGTGAAAATTAGGCTTTTTTTTTTTTTTCAATTTTCCAAGTTTGGCAACCTTGAACCCCATAGATCTCTCTCTTCCTTATCGTTCTTTCTTTCGCGTAGACCTGCATCTCCTCTTTCTTTCCCGTAGACCTCTCTTTTCCCATAGTCCTGCATCTCCTCTTTCTTTCTTGTAGACCTCTCTCTTCCCTCTCGCTCATCTCTCCCTCTCTCTTTCCCGTAGACCTCTCTCTCCTCTTAACAACCTTGAACCCCAAATCTTGAACCCATACTTGTCTTTCCTCTTCACAATCTCAAATCCAACCACCACCACTACTCTGTCGGTTGTCTCTCTCTCTCATTCTAAACGATGGGCAGCCACGCGAATCTCAAAGCTGACGCGAATCAAGTCCCAAAATCAAGGTAAGGGTTTCTGATTTTCGATGGGTTTTTGTTATTTAGGGTTTAGGGTCAAATTGCATGTTGATTTCTTAGTACTTTGTCGAAATCTCCAGGTAAAATTCGTCTCCAGGTTTGATCCTCCACTTCCAACCATTGGCGGAAGACTATTTGTTTCTTTTTCCGTCTGCCATACCGGATTGTTGCCGGATTTCCCACGAATTTTCAGGCCACTTTGGGCACGGCCTCTCTGCAAATCTAAACTGAGGTATTTTTTTTTTAAACCCATTTTTGGAGTTGTTATTAATTTTTGTGAAATATTTGGTCTGGGTTTTGTTTCCCGTTGCACACCCAAGTCTAATCTGTGTGTAATATCCTCCACACTCAACTATATGTTTCCATCCAGCTGGAAATTCATGGGTTCCGTGGGTCCCTTGGCATCCACAACAATGTCATCCTCCATTTTGGCAGCTGTTTCCTTTTAGGGTTTTTGTGTGTTTTTCCTAATGAATTAAAATGCCCTCAAGTTCCTCTGATTATTGCTGCAGTGGATCATCAATTGGATCCTCAATTGATTGAGGGTATCAATTGACATCACCCTTTTAACTTTACCATGGTGTGGTTCCACAAATTAAGTCATACCGCTTTCTCTCAGTTAAATTCTTAAAGTTTTAATTAGAATTTTGGAGAGTGTTAAATTATGCATGTAGAAAATTGTGATTGAATTCTTATAACTATGAGAGGAGAAGCATTTAGTCTAATGGGGTTCATCATAAAACGTTATGGGTGAGAGGAGAAGCATTTAGTCTAATGGGGATCATCATAAAACGTTATGGGTAGAAGAGGATATGGTAAAAACATCTACGTCAAATAAAATTTCCCAATTATGTTCTCTTTCATCTTTCTTTCTCTCTCTCTCTATACATTTATGTATTCATGTAGACACGTGCACGCGCGCGCACACACACACCGAGGTTAAAACTTGGCTCCTTTTGGAAGAGGAGGTCTCCTCCTGAAAGTTATGGGGAAGAGGAAACAGAATAAAACAAAATAGTTAAAATTCATAGTGTCGGTTATCACTTAAGAGAGTAAGGCAAAAGAAGAAGCATAGTAAAAGAAAATAATTAAAATCCATAGTTATACTAAATATTGAATAGGCAGGTTATATCTAAATATTGCTGAGCAAAATGATGGAGCCTTATCCTCTCTTATTGTTAGAACTATTTCATTTTGCTGTTCCTTTCTAAGAACAGTTGCAAATTCAGAGGCCATCAAGGTATCTCATTTAATTATATATTTTATACATGTGTGTATTGGATTATATATATGTGTGTGGGTGAATGTGTGTTTCTCTGTCCCTGTGGATTTGTATTGGTTTTCTCTTTTAGGTTGATTTAGTTAATGGGGTTTGTTTTTGTTTTTGATTAATTTGGTTGTTGTGAAAGTAATCAAACATTCAAAGCTTGGAACTAGTGATCTTTCAAAGAGGTTGGTTGTTCAATGTTTTCATTTATGTCTTTTTAGTTGTATAAACTGTGTTTAGTATTTTATTTGTCTTGGTTGGTTTAGATTTGGCCCAAGAGAGTAAGAAAGCAACGATGTATAGTGATGTAGGACGTGTAAACTGTGATGTCAACTATACAACAATGGCTAAAATAGAAAAATGTTAAATTAATTCTTTTTTTTTTAAGTGGAACTCTTCATGAACTTATGCACTCTTATGTTTCTTGTACAAATTTTATAATATTGGCATGAAAATTAACTTTAAAATTGTGAAGTGATGCGTTATGAATGTGACACACAAATTAAACCCTATTTGTGACAATTGTAGTAATGATGTAAGTAGGGATTGTTCTAACCGGGGATTAACTAGGGGTGCTGATGCGAGAATTATACGCGCACAAATTAAACCCTCTTTTTATCAATTGTAGTAAGTATGTAAGTAGGGATCGTTCTTAACCGGGGATTAGGAGGGATTGCAAATCACTTGGAAACTGACTCAAAAACGTAAAATAAAGTTTAAAACACTAAACTAGACTCAAAGAATGCGAAACTAAACGCTTAAAACACTAAAACAAACCAAAAGACTCAAACATCACCTAAAACACTCAAAACTGCCTTAAAAACACTTTCTGGGCAGTTTTGAGCACCTTGGTGAATTTGGACGAATTTGTGCAACAAATTGAATCAAAACACTTAAAAACACAAACTAAGACACTTTCTAACTAATTTGGACAATAAAGTAAAGGGGGATTGGTTTTGGATGAATTTGAAATTAAAACAAAAACTTGGAAACAAAACAGATTGTAAAACGAATTTGACGGAATAGAATGGATGGGATGGCTAGCTAAGGGGTTCATCTCCACACATGTTACACTTGCATATAAAACGATTTCCAATTGCTTTTCAATAAACCATGATGCTCAACACCCCAAGTTAACCGTGATGCACTAATTAACTCTCAAATTTTCCTTATGTTATTGAATTGGATGATGCATGCGACAATTCAAATCATTCTCCAATGGTTCTCAACATGAATGCATAGAAGAGATACAATGAGAGATCATTATGTTCTATGAAAATTATAAGTGTTGACGAGGCAATTGTAACTATGAATGCATGATACTCTTGCCAAAAATTCATTTAACGCGATTGTTTATAAGCAACCTCCACTACTTGTGAATATAAGTTCATAACTATTAGGTGAAACTCACTTATATTCTAGCGTCATATTCATGCATGAAAATTAAGCGTGCACTCTCAATAAACATACATAAATAAGTTATCAATCAAACAGTTAAACAAATTGAATTCACAACTTATGAAACGCAATTAGAAGTAATCAAATCATATTGCAAGCATAAACATATATTTCGAATCCTCCCCTAGCCAAGGGGGGGTTTAGTTCCTCATACGTACAAAACAAAGAGAATTGAAATTAAACATTGAAATCAAAGAAACACCTAAACATTCCAACAACTCAAACTTGAATTGTATGAACGTTTAGGCCCTCTTCTCTTCCTCTTTATTGTGGCACAAGGTCTAAGGATAGTTTGATGGTGTGAATGGTTTGGGGAGTGGTGGAAATGTGATAGGAGCATATTTAGGCGACTTACTTAGCTTGTTTTCGTGCATCTATGTTGTTAATTCATAGTTGTTTTAGTAGTTTAAGCCATTTTCGTGTGTTTTTAGGTTCACATGGCAAGGAAGGGAAACACCAAGGGACACACGGCAAGGGTAACAATGTTTGGAAGGGACATTGTTTTGTGACCTAGAATAGGTAGGATTCCTTGATATTGCTCAAACAAAAGGTCTTTAGGTCTTCAATTTCGTCCATTCTTTTTGCTCCAAGCATATGCTATCCATTCCAAGCCCAATTTTGCTCCAAAATGCTCCAAAATGCATCTTCAAAATTTGATGTGAGAATTACTTGACACTCAAATTAAACCCTCGTTTGACAATTGTAGTAGAATGGATAAGTGAGGGATCGTTCTAGACCGGGGATTAGGAGGGCTTGCTAAAACCTTCTAAATTGACTTAAAAACATAAAAACTAAATTAAAACAGATTTAAGACACTTGGGAACAAGGAAATAAAAAAAGGGGGTTTTAGTTTTTACGAAGTTGAAATAAACAAACAAAATGCAAAAATGGACAGATTGTAAACAAGTGTTGTGAAACAAGATGGTTGGTGAATTAGCTAGAGGTTCTTTCTCCACACATGATATTTATGCATATGAATCAATTTCCAGTTATTCCTTCATTGAATTATGAACGACAATGCCCCAAATTAACCGTGACATCACTAGTTAACCCTCAGATTTTCCTTATATTATTGGATTGGATGGCATCATTCGACAACCCAAAACATTCTCAAAAGTTCCCTACATGTCATCATAATAGAGATACAATCGAAGATCATTAAGAATAATGAAAACCATAAGCATTGACAAAGCATTTGCAACTATGACATCATGTTACTCATGCTAAGAATTAAACTTAACGCGATCGTGACAAGCGACCTTCACTACTTTCAAGTATAAGTTAGTAACGATTATGTGAAACCTTCTTAAACTTTAGCCACATACTCATGCATGCTAATTAAGTGTCGACCCTCAATCAACAAACACAAATAAGTTAATCATCAAATAGTTAAGCCAATTGCATTCACGAATCAAGAGTTCATAACCGGAATTCATCAATTCATATCACATAAATAATCATGGTATTGAAATCACCCCTAGCCAAAAAGGGTTTAGTTCCTCATATTACAAAACAAAGAGAATTGAAATTAAACATTGAAATCAAAGAAACGCCTAAACATTCCAACAACTCAATCTTGAATTGTATGAACGTTTAGGCCCTCTTATCTTCCTCTTTATTGTGGCACAAGGACTAAGGGATGTTGTTGGTGTGTTGAATAGATTGGGGGATTATGGAAATGGATGAGGAGTGGTGGAAATGGAAGAATAGTTTTTGGATTCTAAGGGGGACTCACGGCTAAGAAGAAGAATGGATGATTTTGAGGAGTGTTGTGTTGTGAATGAGATGATTCATGAATGAATGAATGCTAGGGTATTTATAGGAGGAGTGGAGGGAACATATGGCTGTTTGTTTAAGGTGTTTGTGTGGAGGAATGATGGAAAAAAACAGCTAGGACAACATGTGAAAGCTGGAATTGCACAAGGGGAGCAAAGGGAACCCACGACATGGATGGATTTGTGCATGTGTTGGCTGATTTGTTTGTTGGGGAAGCATGTGCTTGCATGTGGATGTTGTTTGTGTGAAGTGTGTGTGAATGCATGTGGATTAAAGAATGAATGGTGGCTGAAATGATGAAGTAGGAATGTGGAGATGCATGTGAAATGTAAAGGGAAAAACTGGAAATGCTCAAGGAGTGCACGGCATTGATTGTTGTTGGTGTGTTGATGCATGTGTTGAATGATTAAGATTGTGGAAATGCAAGGGAATGCACGGCATTGAGTGTTTGTTTGATGATGATGCATGTGATGGATGGGAACAAAGGGGGAAACATGGCACAAGGTGTTGGAAATGTGCCCTAAAACCAATCATATGATGATACTTTACGGACATTTCAAACTAATGTAGTTTAAAGGGCAAACATTATTGTTTGAGCCGTCTCATATAAATGTTATATGCTTAAACGATAAGTCCAAGGAATATGTGATTGGAAGAATGCGATCTAAAGAAGTTAGATTCATGAGACCATTCTTTCGTTGACACATCCTAAACGTTCCTGATCATAGGAT